TGACAAAATTGGGGGGGAAGAAGGAGCAGAAGAAAATTTCGCAGGTGCAAACGAAGAACGTCCGCGTTTTACAGAAACTAGCTTACAGATTCTTGGATTCGCAGTCGCAGTACAGTACAACGACAGTAAAATACCTGAACCGAAAATCGTTCGCCAAGCTCTTACGAGCCCTCACCGCGAAAAATGGCGCGAAGCCATGGACAAGGAGCTAACAGTTCTCAAGAGTCGTGGCACATGGGAGTTAATACCGACATCAGAAGTAAAAGGAAGAAAGGTACTTACCGGAAAGTGGGTCTTCCGTGTCAAGACTAATGCAGATGGGTCGTTTGAAAAATTCAAGGCGCGATGGGTCGTCCGCGGGTTCGAGCAGACTTACGGCATCGACTACGAACTGACTTTTGCTCCCGTCGGTCGACATACGAGCGTTCGAATTCTACTCTGTGTCGCCGCCTGCCGCAATCTACGACTTCGACAAATCGACGTGGCAAACGCATTTCTCTACGCACCCGTCAACGCACTCATCCTGGTAGAGTACCCACATTCATATACTACTTACCCACATTCGTATACTAGTAACCCACCGAGCGTATGCCGTCTCAGAAAATCGCTTTACGGCATTAAACAGGCACCCCGGCTCTGGCAGCAGTATCTTCACTCACAGCTTATCACTACTGGATTTCGACAACTACCACATGATCAGGGGATGTATCTTCTAACCGACGGCAGCAACTATATTTTACTCGTCGCCTACGTCGACGATATTCTCTACGTCAGTACTACGGATTCGCTCGCCGATACCTTCATACTAAAACTACATAAAAATCTACAGCTTACCGTCTCCGAAACGGTTTCACAGTTTCTTGGATTAAAAATTACCTGCTCACCGACATCTATTCACCTCACCGCGTCGAAGTACGCAGCGACACTCGCTGCCCGCTTCAATCTTACCCCTACTGCAGTCACTACACCGTACCGATCACTACCGACAGACTACAAACCAAATACTACACCATTGAGTCTAACCGATCTACAGACTCATCAACAGCAGTTAGGCTGTTTACTCTTCGCCGCCATTACTTGTCGTCCAGATCTAGCCCATGCGGCTAGTCAACTCGCTCAGTTCCTACGCCGTCCTGAAGAGGAGCATCAACTCGATCTTCTCCGTGCGCTTCTGTATTTTATATCGACACCTGACATCGGTTTAGTCTACAACGTCGTCGACTATAAAACACTATACCTACACGGTTTCGTCGACGCCGATCACGCTGCTGACTCTATTAATCGACGATCGCGTACTGGATCCATCTACCGCCTTGAACCTATCGGGCCTATTTCTTGGAATTCGACAACACGCGAAGGACTTTACCTACAGGAACTCTTGGAAGAAGCTAAGTTGACGACGAGTACTCAGTTTACTCTACAGTGCGACAACCAAAGTGCAATTCGCATCGCGCACCAACCTGGCTTCGTCAACAGGACGAAACACATTTCACTGCGTTACTTTTTCGTCAAGGATGAAGTTGAGAAGGGGAGGATGCGATTGGTCTATTGTTCGACCAACGAAATGGCTGCCGACTTCCTCACGAAGAAGCTGACATGACAGAAGTTTCAGCATTGTAACAAGCTTTGCGGGATCTTCAAGAAGTGACACTATCGAACTTCCAGAAATGAAGGGGAGTGTTGTGATCAGGGTCTGAGATATCAGACGAAATCGGTCTGATGGTCTGAAAATCAGACCTGTTTTTTTCCTTTCATCTGATTTTTTGACGGGCTAAATTAATTCGTCTGATCATCCAGATAAGCCATAAGATTTCGTCTGAAAGTACAGACTAGGTGTAGACTTTCGTCTGAGAATTCAGATAGCGCAGATTTTTTCGTCTGATACATTCATCGTCTCCCCAACCCCGGCCCCCCTCCCCCCCCCCCCCCCCCCCCCACCTCCCCCCGCCCCGGCCCCCCGTCCCCCACAACCAAGAGTTTTTCCGGCTAAGTTCCCGAGTGCTAGATACATTCCTCCCACACCCCTACACAACCTCCAGTTCAGTTTCTTTGCTAGTTTCTCCGGCATAGTCCTCCAGACCAGAGATATTCCTCCAAATACCCCTCGCAGCAATAAAATTTCGGCGAAGTCCCTTACACCAGAGACATTTCTCTACACACCACGCACAACCCCGAAAATTCGGCGAAGACCCTTATTGCAAGATACATTTCCCCACACACCCCTCAAGCTATGTTTTTCCAATGAAGTCCCTCACAGCTAGACCACAAAATTTTGGCTAAAGACCCTCCCACACCCTCCCCCCAGTATACCTGCAACGGCGGTGCGTAAACTGAGGGTTGCTTGTGCATGCCACGTCACGTTACGTGCGCGTCTCTCACCGCCAAACAGAGTAAGGCCCTGGTACTGTAGGCAGATACAGTACGCAGGCCCTGGTCTCTCTCCCAAGCAGGCCTCTCGATATCCTAGGGGTCACCCTGCAGTTTCCAAGTTTGCCCGGGATCCAACTCGTCCAGGCTGGGTAGCCCTAAAAAGTTTGACTGTATTTGCAGGCAAGAGTTTCGTCAAGCTCGAAATCAGCTACTCCTGACAATGACAGGGGGGGACATTTTTACTAGGGGCGCGAACGTCTACATTAGATTTCACAGGGCGGGTCTATCCCGTACTCGGAAATTGGCCGTGGGATAATTCTGGCTTGGCTGTCCATGGACGGGTATCGATATTCTGAATTCGTCAAAAGCAGGGCTAGGTTAAATTTTCAACATGTTTACCTTGACAAAGCAGTATAATTACCCTGACTTCCAGAGGCCTGCTCGCCAGGCTCGCGCAAAAAAAAATATACGCAACACGGTTGAATGCGGTTCCGTGTGGTCTGATGCAGGGTTGTGACTGTCAATGTTCAGGCCCTGTTTTCAAACTTCTTCTCAGGCGCGCCTTTTTGAGACAGGCGCGCATCTGTACAGTACGATTTTGACGCGAGCAGATTCAAAGCAGCTGAGAATAGTGATACTGAAACGGTTTTAGCTTGACAAGGAACCTTCGAACGCGCTCGTAGGCGAGTCCAAGTCTGGGAAGACGTTCGTAGGAACAGGCTGTCAGCAAGGAAGAAAAATGGAAGTCTAAATTGCAAGTGGCGATGTTTCTTGCGGCAATTTTTTCGTCTGAATGTTCAGACTTGCGGGAAAAATTCGTCTGAAATCTCAGACTCCTTGAAAAATTTCGTCTGATGGTCAGACGAAACTTTGGAACCCCGTCTGATTTTCAGACAGCCCTAAATCCTAGCTGAAACCCTGGTTGTGATATAATTCATACTTAGCATTTCTGTAAGTCGATTATAGATAGATAGTGTCGAATCCTACTGTAGAAGATAAGTGCGTAGGATGATGTCAGCAAATAGCGCTCGTCATGAGAACAGTCGTTTCAGTCACTCGAACAGTCGCATCTCTTCAGTGTCATTTAGGGCGCATAACGCGATAGTGACGATAGTGTTTTCATTATTAACTTTGATTACCCACAAGTTCATGAGCTCAGGTTATTCATGCTAAAGTCTGAACTAGGAAGAACAGAGGAGGCCGCCATGAAATGGCGGCCAAGGGTTTAGCTAGGAAGTTGACGAGAGTGTCGAGAGAGAAGAGAATAAGATTAGGAAGAGAGAGAGTACAAGGAGGGGTTTGTACCCTCTACAGTAAGGTTCGGTAACCTACCAAGCCTAACAATTATATTAAAATATAATTTGAACACACCCCCTAGGCTTGGTAGTGGCAAACCCACACAACCCACACACACACCCCCTAACCCCGGACACCCTCATTCTCGTGAGCAGCCGGGTATCGACCTCTCGTGCTAGGCTATGACACCCCCGGTCGAGAGGCAGCTGGCCGCATCTGGGCGGCCTCAATGACGACAGCGGCGGAGCTCGTGCTCAAGGCGGCTGTGTCGATGAGGACAGGCGGCGATTGCGGCGGCTGAGGGCTCTCGGCGGTGTGGCACGGGCTGGCGACGACCGAGCCGAAGACAGCAGCTACGGCAGGAGCAGGAGGAGATGCAGGGGAGGGAGAGGTGGTGGGGCTGCTGTGGTGGGGCTGCAGGACTTCAGCGCGGCGCCATAGGCGCGGCGCTTACTGGCGGGAGGAGGAGGCGGGACGAGGCCCAGGAGGGGCGCGACTGGGCTAGGAGGCACGGCAGGGCCCAGGAGGGGCGCGACGTGGATAGGAGGCACGGTAGGGCCCAGGAGGGGCGCGACGTGGATAGGAGGCACGGCAGGGCCCAGGAGGGGCGCGACGGGGAGGTGGAACGGCGGAGCCGCCACGTCAGGGCGGCAAGCCCAGCACGGCTGCTCGACGTGGCAGCCATGCGACATGGCCGCCACGGCGGCACGGCAGGAGCGACGAACGCACGAGAACGCAGTGGAAAGCACGGAGGGGAGCAGGCCCAGGAAGGGCATCCCGCTCTGATACCATGTTAAAGTCTGAACTAGGAAGAACAGAGGAGGCCGCCATGAAATGGCGGCCAAGGGTTTAGCTAGGAAGTTGACGAGAGTGTCGAGAGAGAAGAGAATTAGATTAGGAAGAGAGAGAGTACAAGGAGGGGTTTGTACCCTCTACAGTAAGGTTCGGTAACCTACCAAGCCTAACAATTATATTAAAATATAATTTGAACAATTCAACCTTGACTTTCACAAGAGTTATACTCAGATTCACTTTTACAAGACTTCCGTTGTCTTACTAGTCTACCATTCCAGCAAAGATCCTAGGCTAACACTTGAGGTTTTCCAAGTGTTTGTGTTTGCAGACTCTACACATAGTTTTCTGCAACACCTGTCAAATTATTACAGAAAGAATGTTATGCTACACGTTGCAGAGTTTACATAACGCTTTTGAAGCATGATCATTGCTTGTAGAGACCAATAGTACAGCAGCTCCTAATAACGCAACCAATTCCCCTCATGCTGGTGCTGCTCTCCCCACAAACGAAGTGGAATTTCGGCTCCACATTTCTCCCAGTTGGAGATCCTGCCTTCCCTCTCCATAGTCCGCATATCGCTACTTGCGAGGTCACTGTTGCTCTTCGACTCGTGTGCCCGCGTGTGATCTTCTTGATACGCGCATTGCTCGATTCATCCCCCCTCTCTCCAGCCCCCCAAAGAGCGCGTCACTCACCGCCACTCGCGTTCCACCCTACCACGCGCTGCCGCCCCGCGCTTGCGGAATCGGACGTTAGAACGGCGATCCACGTCACGCGTTCCGCGGCAGGCACGGCGCATTCAACGCCAAGTGTCCATCGCCCTGTTTCTGCGCGCGCGTGCTGACCCGCCATCGCCCGGCTTCTCCGCGGCTCTCGCGCTGGCCGCCATGGACGCGGACGTCGCAGCGGGAGCGGCGGACTCGCCGGCGGCGATGGCGGAATGGCGGGGGGAGGTGGCGCGGGTGGCGCGGCAGCTGTCGGACCGCGCGGCGCTGGAGCGCGCGAACGGGCTGACGGCGCTCGACGCGCTGCTGGCCGGTGCGCGCCACTGCGAGCGCTGCCGTGGTTGCACTGCAGCCACGGCGCTACCCTCGCCGCTGTCATGTCTCCTTCCGACCCTCAACGCATTGTCCCCGCTAACTCGCTAACTCGCTAACTCGCTTTTGCGAGTGGAAGCCCTGCCCTGCGCTGCCCAGCCCACTCCAACGCCCGTGTCTCCATCTCTGTCCGCCGCATGCCACCTCCCCTAACCCCTCCCCCATTCATCCCCTCACACCATTCCCCCCCTTCCTTCTCCCACCCCCCCTCCCCCCCCATCCCCCCCAAAGGCGTGGCGCTCGGCAGTGAGGGCGCGGGCGGGCGCATGGAGGCAGTGAGCGCATGCCTGCTGGCCATGCAGGGGGGGGACCCGGGGGCAGGGGGGGCGGTGGGGGAGGGGGAAAGGGCGGAGGGAGAGGCAGGAGGCGCAGGCAAGGAAGGGCGTGAGGCGGAGATGTCAACGGAAGGGGGAGGCGGCGCCAGTGGCAGCAACAGCAGCAGCGGCGGCAGCGGCGGCGGGTGGACGGCCAGGCATGGCGGCTTTCTGGGGGCCGAGGTACGGGCGGATGGGAGGTGGGCTCTGAGGGGTGGGATAAATGGTGGGGGGTTGGCATGGTGAGAAGCCAGGAGTGTGTCACACTGGTGCAAGGTGTGGATCGCATTTATGGCAGGGTGCTGCTGCCGCTGGGAAAACATGGGAGAAGGTTCTGCGCTCTGCATGCAAGAGCCATGGCATGGCGAATCCTTCATCTTTATTGCCATTTCTCGTGCAGGTGTTGCTGCGGCATTGGAGCAGAGTGCTTGGCGCACCGCGGGAGCAGCAGCACGAGGCGCGGAGCGTCAAGAAGGGGGAGGGCAGCAGCGGAGGGCAAGCAGGGGGGCGGGGGGCGGGAGTGGTGGCGTTCTGCAGCGGGGCGGGGGAGGCAGCTCTGAGGCGCATGGATGATGAGGAGCCACGAGTCAGGTGGGGGGGGGGGCTCGGGTACATGGGATGGGATGTGCATGGGGATTAGTGACCAGCTGGGAGCGGACGACAGAGTATGAGGGATGGTGGAGCAGATGGTAAGGCCAACGTCACTATGGACAGGGATGCTCAACGCTGTGCGTCCACTCGTCCTTCCGTACCTCCTTAGTGCTGTGCCCCGTCACTTTCCCCTTCAAACCCCCCCCCCCCCCTCCCCCCCACCAGGCTGGCAGCAGCAGAGGCTCTCTGCGCCCTCGCTCACTACGGCTCGCTGCACGACGCCCTCACCCTCTTCAGGTGCCCTCTTTAGGTGCCCTCTTTAGGTGCCCTCTTGCTGTCCTAGAGCGGCAGGGGGCGGTCCTAGTGCGGCAGGGGGCGGTCCTAGTGTGGCAGGGGGCGGTCCTAGTGCGGCAGGGGGCGGTCCTAGTGTGGCAGGGGGCGGTCCTAGTGCGGCAGGGGGCGGTCCTAAAGGGGCAAGGGGCGGTCTTAGTGCGGCAGGGAGGCAGTCCTAGAGCGGCAGGGAGGCGATCCTAGAGCGGCATGGGGCGGTCCTAGTGCGGCAGGGGGCGGTCCTAGAGCGGCAGGGAGTGGTCCTAGAGCGGCAGGGGGCGGTCCTAGAGCGGCAGGGAGTGCTCCTAGTGCGGCAGGGGGCGGTCCTAGAGCGGCAGGGAGTGCTCCTAGTGCGGCAGGGGGCGGTCCTAGTGCGGCAGGGGGCGGTCTAGTGCTGCAGGGAGGCAGTCCTAGTGCGGCAGGTGGCGGTCCTAGTGCTGCAGGGGGCGGTCTTAGTGCGGCAGGGGGCGGTCCTAGAGCGGCTTGGGGCGGTCCTAGAGTGGCAGGGGGCGGTCCTAGAGCGGCAGGGGGCGGTCCTAGAGCGGCAGGGGGCGGTCCTAGTGCGGCAGGGGGCGGTCCTAGAGCGGCAGGAGGCGGTCCTAGTGCGGCAGGGGGCTGTCCTAGAGCGGCAGGGGGGGGTCGTGAGTTTCGTTTCCTCATCACCACGGACGTCTATCCTCTCCTCTCTCTCTCCTCTCTCCTCTCTCTCATCCCCTCTCTCTTCTCGCCCTCCCCGTCCCCCTCCCTGCCCCCCTCCATGTCCCTCCCCCAGGGCTGTCAAGGCTCACATCATGCACACCCTGCAGCAGCAGCAGCCGCTGCCCCCACTGCTGGAAGGGCAGGAGGAGGGGGAAGCGGAGGGGGGAAGGGATGGGGAAGGGGAAAAGGGCGGCAAGCAGGCAGTCCTGGGGGCGCAAGAAGGGGAGGGGGAGCAGGAGGGCGCCGATGGGGGCGTGGTGTGTGGAGAGGACGCCCCCAGTTCCCCCCGTGCGGATCAGGCAGGACTGGCTGCCGCCATGGGCCAGCTGGGGGGTGTGGAGGGGGTGGGGGGCGCTGGGGGTGGAGGCTGTGGAGGAAGGGCATCAAGGGCGCATCATGGCGCGACTGGCATTGGGATGGCGGTAGGCAGGCAGGGAGGGAGGGAGGAATGAAGGGATGCTTGTGGGCAGAGATGTGGTATGCTGTGAGGTGCACACGTGAGACGAAGCGCAGTGAATTGAATGCACTGCTGTTTTGCACGATGCGCCTGACAAGCGATGCATGTGCACTGTGTTCTGAGGCGCCTGACAAAGCAATGCATGTGCACTGTGTTCTGAGGCGCCTGACAAGCGATGCATGTGCACTGTGTTCTGAGGCGCCTGACAAGCGATGCATGTGCACTGTGTTCTGAGGCGCCTGACAAGCGATGCATGTGCACTGTGTTCTGAGGCGCCTGACCAAGCAATGCATGTGCACTGTGTTCTGAGGCGCCTGACAAGCGATGCATGTGCACTGTGTTCTGAGGCGCCTGACCAAGCAATGCATGTGCACTGTGTTCTGAGGCGCCTGACAAGCGATGCATGTGCATTGTGTTCTGAGGCGCCTGAAAAGCGATGCATGTGCACTGTGTTCTGAGGCGCCTGACAAGCGATGCATGTGCACTGTGTTCTGAGGCGCCTGACAAGCGATGCATGTGCACTGTGTTCTGAGGCGCCTGACAAGCGATGCATGTGCACTGTGTTCTGAGGCGCCTGGCCAGCGATGCATGTGCACTGTGTTCTGCACGCCTTGCCATCCCTCGCCCACCTTGCCTTTCAATGTCTCATCTCTTGCCACCCGCCCCTCCCCCCTCTCCCCCACTCCCCCCTCCCACCAGGCCCGGGGTCGCAGCCTGGAGACGGCCCTGCGCTCGCTGCAGCGCCTGCTGGATGGCGTGGGGGAGAGGCCAGGGGCAAGGGCGGGATGTGCCGGGGGGGAAGGAAACGATGCAAGGGAGGGGGGGGCGGGAGGAGAGGGGGGAAAGGAGGAGGGGGAGGCGGAGTGGTGTGCGGTGGTGGGGGAGATGAGTCGGGGCACGGTAGACGCGACAGGCGCGGTGGTGCGGCATGGCAACCGCTTCGTGCGCGAGGCCGCCATGTTCGCACTAGCTGCACTGTGCCGCGTCATGGGGGAGGGCCAGCTCGCCAGGTGCGCTGCTTGACTTTACCCCCCCACCCCACCCTGCCCTCCGTGCTCCACGTTTCTCCATCCGCCCCCACATTCCTCCCAGCGCTTCGCTTCGCCGAAGAGAGTAATGAAGACAGCCCATCTAATAAACAGCCACCCACCCTCCCTCTCCTTCCCCCCCTTCGCCACTGTGTGCAGTCTGGGCGAGTCCATCGCCTTGCAGCTGGCTGTTGGGCTGGGAGACAACTGGAGCCAAGTCAGATACGGTGAGAGGCAGTTCAGTGAGATGGAGTGCGGTGGGTGCAGTGCTGTGGGATGCAATGTGGTGGGATGCATTTGGTGACATTAGACATGGAGCCTCCCTCGCGCTGCTCGCCTTATTTCTCCAGTCAACCACCGTTTTCTCCCATCACCCCTCCCTCCCCACCCCCTCCTCTCCCCCCCCCCAGCTGCGTCGGTGGCGAACCGCGGCCTGTTCCTGTCAGCAGGGGCTGTGCATCACAAGGACCGCTACCTGCCCACGCTGCTGCCCGCCATGTGAGCTCATGGCATTGCATATGGCATGGTGTGGCGTGGCATGGCATGGCATGGTGTGGCGTGGCGTGGCATGGCATGGTGTGGCGTGGCGTGGCATGGCATGGTGTGGCATGGCATGGTGTGGCGTGGTGTGGCATGGCATGGCGTGGCATGGTGTGGCATGGTGTGGCATGGTATGGCATGGCATGGTGTGGCGTGGTGTGGCATGGCATGGTGTGGCATGGTGTGGCGTGGTGTGGCATGGTGTGGTGTGGCGTGGCATGGCATGGTGTGGCATGGCGTGGCATGGTGTAGCATGGTGTGGCATGGCATGATGTGGCATGGTGTGGCATGGTGTGGCATGGCATGGTGTGGCATGGTGTGGCATGGTGTGGCATCACATGGCATGGGATGTGGGCTGCTGCTGCGAGGGGTATGAGTGCAGATGGCATGCCACATATTCCATGACATGCACACACGTCAAGCCCTGCCACCCATTCCTCGCCACGCCGTGCAATGCTGTGCCGCATCACTAGGCCGGCATGGACTGTGCATCTGTGCGCTGGGTGTTTCCATTTCTCCCCACCAATATCCCTCCCCTCCCCCCCCTCTCGCCCCCCAGGGTGTTCAACCGCTACTACGGCGCGGACGGCGTGCGCATCTACTCGCAGGACACGTGGCAGCAGGTGATGGGCGGCGGCGGGCGGGCGGCGGTGGCGCGGCACATGCAGCAGGTGGTACCCTTCTACCGCCAGCAGGCGCGCGCGCAGAACTACCTCGTCCGAGAGGTGCGACTTGCATTGGGGCATGTTGAGACGCGGCAAGAGGATACGGCAGTAGAGAGGGGTTGAGTTGAGTTGAGTTGAGTGGCACTGCTGGCCTCTGGATGCCATGCTCACGCCCTTGCTGCTGCCACTGCGAGCTCTGCCCTGCTCCGATGTGTTGTGTTGTGTTGTGTTGTGTTGTGTTGTTGTGTTGTGTTGTGTTGTGTTGTGTTGTGTTGTGTTGTGTTGTGTTGTGTTGTGTTGTGTTGTGTTATGCTGCTACACTGTGTGACCGCCCTGCTGTGTGATGCCATCGCTGCACCATGCACTCACCTCCATGGGGAACCGCCTCGTGCTTCCTCTCTGCCATCCTTTCCCCCCCTACCTGGCATGCAGACGGCGTGTTTCTGCATTGCTGAGGTGGCCTCCAAGATCGACCGCCAGGTGAGGCAACTCAGCTCATAGCCTAGCTTGTACCTGCCCTGCTGCCCGCTGCCGCTGCCGCCCGCCACACTTGTTGCGTTCTGGTTACTTCTCCCTCCCCTCCTCCCTGGTCTCCTTCTCTAACTCGCCCCTTCCTTCCACCCGAATCTCCCTGTGACCTCACCTGCCTCCTCCCCGCCCCAACCACCCCAGGTGGTGCTGCCAGTGCTGCCGGACCTGCTGCCCTGCCTCCTGCAGTGCCACTCCGACCCCGTCTGGCCCGTGCGCTGCGCCGCCTGCTCAGGTGCGCCGCTGTGCTCAGGTGCGCCGCCTGCTCAGGTGCGCCGCTGTGCTCAGGTGCGCCGCTGTGCTCAGGTGCGCCGCCTGCTCAGGTGCTGCCCGCCCTCCAGCCCGTGCATTCTGCCTCGCTCTCCATCCATTCCTCCCAATCTCACTTACTTCCACCAACAACCCTTCTTGCCATTCCCTTTCCTCAGCATTCCCACTTCCTCCCGTTGCGCACCTCTCCCTGTGCGCACCACAGCGAGTGCCACTGTGGTGGAGCAGTATGGTGACATGGCAGCACAGCACATTGCCACGTGGGCGCCCACATGGCTTGCGAACCTCACAGACGGTGCGTCCCAGTGCGTCCAATCAGCGCATCGTCAAGCCATCGTCAAGCCATCGACAAGCCATCGTCAAGCCATCGTCAAGCCATCGTCAAGCCATCGTCAAGCCATCGTCAAGCCATCGCCAAGCCATCGCCAAGCCATCATCAAGCCATCGTCAAGCCATCGCCAAGCCATCGTCAAGCCATCGTCAAGCCATCGTCAAGCCATCGACAAGCCATCGTCAAGCCATCGTCAAGCCATCGTCAAGCCATCGTCAAGCCATCGCCAAGCCATCGTCAAGCCATCGTCAAGCCATCGTCAAGCCATCGACAAGCCATCAACAAGCCATCGTCAAGCCATCGTCAAGGCATCGTCAAGGCATCGTCAAGCCATCGTCAAGCCATCGTCAAGCCGTCGTCAAGCCGTCGTCAAGTCGTCGAGCCGTCGTCGAGCCGTCGTCAAGCCGTATCAAACCGTCGTCAAGCCATCTCATCCTCCCCGGCAATCCATCCTTCCCCCCCTCCCTCCCCCACCCCGATTGCCACCTTGTTGTCACCCCGTCCCTATTGGCGTCCGTTTCTTTCGTGCTTTCAAGAACCGCTTTTCCGTGCACCCCTCGCCTGGCCCCTGCCATGCTGCAGTGATCCCCGCGGTGCGGCAGCATGCAGCGGCGCTCATAGGCGCTGCGCTCAACACGAGAGAGACCCAGGGGAGGGCCGTTCAAGTGAGAATGGGGGCCTGAGAGCCTTGCTTGTTTACCTTCATTCTATACACTTTCCTGCTTGTGTCCCCTCGTCTCGCCCTTGCACTCTCTCTCGCTTCCCTGTGTCCAAAGTCCCCTCTCACACTCCTCTCACACTCCTCTCACACCCCTCCCCCCAACCCTCAGATCACTCAAGACGCCCTCCATCGTCTGCTGCCTGCCGCCCTTTCCTCTCACTCCCCCCACTCCTCCCACTCCCACGCACACACTCACCCGCCCTCCCCTCCCTCCACCGCTGCTGCCCCCTCCTCCTGCTGCCCGGCCCACCCACACTCCTCCCCCTCGTCCTCCACTCACCACGCGCATCCCCCTCACACGCATCCCCCTCACACGCATCCCCCTCACACGCATCCCCCTCACACGCATCCCCCTCACGCGCTTCCCCCTCACGCTCATCCCCCTGCTGCTGCACCGCCACCGGGGCTGCAGGCTGTGCGCATCGCCCTCAGGTGAGTGGCCAGTGCGCCACTGCTGGGCAAGTTTATCTCCATCCCTCAACAGCACTCCCTGCATTCCCTCACTCTCATCACCTTACATTCTTCCACTTGCTTCCACCCTCCCCCCGTCCCACCACAGAGACCCCGATGCACCACCAGACCCGGCACACCCCGCCTCGGTATTCATACACTTCCTGCCACCCGCCCTCCGCCTTCATCTCCCACCTCCCATCTTTTACCATCTGTCATTATTATCCCTTACCGTCCACCGTCCACCGTCCACCGTCCACCATCCACCATCCACCGGAGGACGTCCTCCGCCCACCGTCCACCGTCCACCGTCCACTGGAGGACGCCGTCCACCTTCCACTGTCCACTGGTGGAAGCCATCCACCGTCCATTGTCCATGGGCCACAGGCCACCGGCCACCGGTGGACGCCGTCCTCCGTCCACTGTCCAGTGTCCACCGTCCACCATCCACCGTCCACCGGTGGACGCCGTCCACCGTCCAAAGTCCACCGCCCACCGTCCAACGTCCAACGTCCACAGTCCACCGTCCAACGTCCACCGTCCACCGTCCACCTTCCACCGTCCACTGTCCACCGGTGGATGCCGTCCACCGTCCACCGTGCACTGGTGGACGCCGTCCACCGTCCACCGTCCACCGTCCGCCGTCCACCGCCCACCGCCCACCAACCACCGTCCACCGTCTGCCGCCCACCGTCCACCGTCCACCGTCCGCCTTCCACCGTCCACCGTCCACCGTCCACCGGTGGACGTCGTCCACCGTCCACTGTCTACCGGTGGACGCCGTCCACCGTCCTCCGTCCTCCGTCCTCCGTCCACCAGTGGATGCCGGCCACCGTCCATCGTCCACCGTCAACCGGTGCACGCCGTCCACCGTCCACCGTCCACCATGCACCGGTAGACGCCGTCCACCGCCCACCGTCCATCGGTGGACGCCGTCCACCATCCACCGGTGGACGCCGTGCGCCGTCCACCGTCCACCGTCCACCGTCCACCGTCCACCGTCCACCGTCCACCGTCCACTGGTGGAAGCCATCCTCCATCCACCGTCCACCGTCCACCGTCCACCGTCCACCGTCCACCGTCCACCGTCCTCCGTCCGCCGTCGTCCTTCCTCCGTCCACCGTCCACCGTCCACCGTCTTCCTATCCTTTCTTGCTCCATGTGATTGTGCTCCATACTGAACAATTATAGTTCCGTCAAGCCGCTTTGTCTTACTTTACTTCAGCGACAGCATGCCCCCATCTGGCTACGTCCGTGTCTCTCTCTCTCTCTTCCCATGCTCTCCCTCCTCCCCCGCCTTCAGAGGTTCACTTTTGAACCTCTGCGAATTGGTGCCTCCGCTCCTCACACTCACGCGCCTGCACCCGCTGCTGCTGCTGCTGCTGCTGCTTCAGCAGCGCCAGACGCAGCTGCCATATCTCCACCTCTTTCCATCCCCTCACAGCCACCAGCCACAGCACCGTCCCTCTCCGCCTCCCCTCCTTCTCTCCCTTCCACCGCCTCTCCACCCTCTGCCCCCACCGCACCCTCTACACCTAGTTGCTCGTGCCACCAGCACCACCCCCACCAGCACCACCCCCACCAGCACCACCCCCACCAGCACCACCCCCACCAGCACCACCCCCACCAGCACGCGGCCACAGCGGAGGCGTGGGAGCAGTCGGAGGGGGCGGTGCTGCTGCTGCCGTTCCTCGCTGCCGCCGCCCCCGCTGCTGCGGGCCCCTTCATCCCCACGCTCGCCCAGCTGGTGTGCTCCCCGCCCCACTGCCCAGCGTTTGGGCCCTCTACCATCCTGCAGTTGTGATGTCGCTTCTGCCATGCTGCCGCTATGCCATGCCATTCCTTGCTGTGCTCATCAGTTGTATTTTCCTTCCCCAACCCAACCCAACCCCCCCCACCTGACCCCACCCCACCCCACCCCCCCACACCACGAGCACCAGGCGAGCTCACCAGAAGCGGCGGCGCACGCGGCTCTGCAGGCCAGCATCATGCGCCGCCTGCCCGCCATCGCCAAGGTCGCGCCCTTTCCTCCACGTGCCTTCCACGTGCCCTCCACGTGCCCTCCACGTGCCCTCCACGTGCCCTCCACGTGCCCTCCACGTGCCCTCCACGTGCCCTCCACGTGCCCTCCATGTGCCCTCCACGTGCCCTCCATGTGCCCTCCACGTTGCCCTCCACGTGCCCTCCACGTGCCCTCCACGTGCCCTCCACGTGCCCTCCATGCATCTTGCTCTCTGCTCTCAGCCCCTCTCCACCGCACACTACCCACGCCCACACCCTCTCCACCTGTCCACCCGCCCTCACTCCACCTATCTATTCCTCATGTTCCCGCCCCCTCTCTCGCCCCACATGCATCCCCCCCCCCCCCCCCCCTCCCTCCCCCTCTCTCCCAGGCCGTGGGCAAGCGCCAGTTCAAGCCGTCGCTGGAGCTCTTCCTCGACCCGCTCTTCGCCGCCCTCACCTCCACCCAGGTCCCATCCACGATCCACCATCCCTCCACTCATGCATGCTGCTTGCCCCACCCCCTGCTTGCCCCACCCCCTGCTTGCCCCACCCCCTGCTTGCCCCACCCCGTGCTTGCCCCACCCCTTGCTTGCCCCACCCCGTGCTTGCCCCACCCCGTGCTTGCCCCACCCCTTGCTTGCCCCACCCCTTGCTTGCCCCACCCCGTGCTTGCCCCACCCCGTGCTTGCCCCACCCCGTGCTTGCCCCAACCCGTGCTTGCCCCACCCCGTGCTTGCCCCACCCCTTGCTTGCCCCAACCCGTGCTTGCCCCACCCCGTGCTTGCCCCACCCCTTGCTTGCCCCACCCCCTGCTTGCCCCACCCCGTGCTTGCCCCACCCCTTGCTTGCCCCACCCCGTGCTTGCCCCACCCCGTGCTTGCCGCACCCCTTGCTTGCCCCACCCCTTGCTTGCCCCACCCCGTGCTTGCCCCACCCCGTGCTTGCCCCACCCCGTGCTTGCCCCAACCCGTGCTTGCCCCACCCCGTGCTTGCCCCACCCCTTGCTTGCCCCAACCCGTGCTTGCCCCACCCCGTGCTTGCCCCACCCCTTGCTTGCCCCACCCCCTGCTTGCCCCACCCCGTGCTTGCCCCACCCCTTGCTTGCCCCACCCCGTGCTTGCCCCACCCCGTGCTTGCCGCACCCCTTGCTTGCCCCACCCTTGCTTGCCCCACCCCGTGCTTGCCCCACCCCGTGCTTGCCCCACCCCGTGCTTGCCCCAACCCGTGCTTGCCCCACCCCGTGCTTGCCCCACCCCTTGCTTGCCCCAACCCGTGCTTGCCCCACCCCGTGCTTGCCCCACCCCTTGCTTGCCCCAACCCGTGCTTGCCCCACCCCGTGCTTGCCCCACCCCTTGCTTGCCCCACCCCGTGCTTGCCCCACCCCGTGCTTGCCCCACCCCTTGCTTGCCCCACCCCGTGCTTGCCCCACCCCGTGCTTGCCCCACCCCGTGCTTGCCCCAACCCGTGCTTGCCCCACCCCGTGCTTGCCCCACCCCGTGCTTGCCCCACCCCGTGCTTGCCTCACCCCTTGCTTGCCCCACCCCGTGCTTGCCCCACCCCGTGCTGGGAGTTGGGCGATCCTGGGAGTTGAGCGATCTTGGGAGTTGGGCGATCCTGGGAGTTGGGCGACCTTGGGAGTTGGGCGATCTTGGAAGTCGGGCGATCTTGGGTGTTGGGCGATCTTCATATTTTACACTGGTTTGCACTTGTTTGCCACCACTCTGAGTGGTTTTTCACTGGTTTGCCACCAACGTGAATGGTTTTGCTCTGGTTTGCCACCATCCTGAGTTGTTTTGCACTGGTTTGCCACCACCCTAGGTGGATTTCCACTGGTTTGCCACCACTCTGAGTGGTTCTCCACTGGTTTGCCACCACCCTAAATGGTTTCCCACTGGTTTGCCACCACCCTGACTGGTTTTCCACTGGTTTGCCACCACCCTGACTCGTTTTCCACTAGTTTGCCACCACTCTGAGTGGTTATCCCTCCCCCCTTCCTGTCCTGCTCTCCTTATCCCCCCCTCCTTCCCACCCTCCCCCTCGTCCACGGGTGCAGCCCGAGGTGGCAGCAGCAGCAGGTGCGGCAGTGGCGGAGCTGCAGCTGCTCATAGGGCCCACCATATTCGAGGGACGCCTGTCCTCGTTACAGAGGGAAGCCATGACTCGATACAAGCACCTCATTCACCTGCGCCCTCAGCAGCCCTCGGAGCCAGGCATGCCGCCTCATGCCCACCATCGACCGGGATCATGAGATGAGATGGGTGCTTGGGCTGGGAGTTGGGCCAACGCTGCAGATTACTTTCTTACCCTTGCGTGTGCTGGCATGATTTGTATTCAAATAGAGCATGCTTGAATCTCTGGAAATCTAGTAGTTCAACAGCATTGTGCGTCATGCACATTGTAGTGATGGGTAATTCGTTTTTTTGCCGGCACATGATCATAGAACCCCATTTGAAATTATGAGTAGCTTCGACTTTATCGGGTTTGCCTTTACAAGCATCATTCTTGGCGGTTCGTCTAAGGGCGTCTCCCCCTTGCTCCTCGGTGATTCGTCAACACTGTCGCGAAAATCCTTTTCGAGGTTCGCCCACTCGTCGGTGACGCGGTCGTGGGGCCTCGTGACTGGTCAGGCAGACATGCCCGAGTGTCCGCGCGTGCAGCTGCATCAGCACTGCCCATGTCATCGTCAACACAGACCAATAGTCGTGCATCACGGCCCCTCATAACAGAAGCAGGCCACGTGGATGCAAGTAGGGGTCTGTAAGCGCGCCTCGTAAGCAGCGCCCCAGCCTCCCTTATGGCTTTGCGCCCCTCATTCCCTCACAGCAGCGGCGAGCGAGAGGGCAACCAAGCGAGCTCGCTGCGTCGACTGCATGGGCGTGATGGAACTGCCGCCAGGCACATCGCACGCACATCATAAGCCCATGCTACAGCGCCTAACACTGGAGTCCGTGCAGAGAGCTGCAAGCAAAGGAGGCAGCAGGGCAGATGTCCATCCGAGGCCGCTGCCATACCACCATCCGAAGTGCCACCGCAGCCACCGCCGCCACTCAACCTCCCTCGCGGCTATTTTGCCCCCCTCGCCGCTTTCCTCGCCGCTTTCCTCGTCGCCCTCGCCGCCAGCCGTGCGCGCCTCGAGCGTACCGCGCCCGCACGGCCACGCGTAGCTGCCGCCCTGACGGGAAACGCGGGCTCGCCCGTGAGTCGGGAAGCGAGACCTCGGTTGGATATAGAATCAATTCGCTGCGCGTGTGCCGGCCGCGAGTGCTTCGACAGCAGTTGCTTACCGCCAGCCGCTCCATCTCTCTCTCCCTCTCCCTCTCACCATCTCGCGGCACCCCTCTTCCAAATAGTTTTCCGCATGGCCTCGCACGCCCCGTGCGACACGTCGCAGCAGCCACGGCCGCGACAATCGGCAGAAGGAATGAGCGACGCGATGAGCGACGCTGTGCGATGGTGCGCGAACGCGGGTGACATGGAGTGCGCGCTGTTTCTGATGTCGCGAATGAAGCAACGCGGCGTGCGACTCAGCGACGCCTGGTGAGAGCCACCTGTCCCTCGTGCCGCCCATGGCTGCCCCTCGTGCTGCTTTGTTATGGCGATGAGCAGCTGAGATGAGGCGAACAAGGAGAAAAAGCTGCTTCCCTGTGAGTCCCCGTGAGCAAAGCTGAACTGGGAGGTGGGAGTGAGCGTCAGCGCGCCTTGGATTCACCACGTTGCGCCGCGTCCGTCACTCGCGTCATCGCCTCCCTCGGCACTCCCTTGTCTGCCTCACGCCCCCTCTTATCCCCCCCCCTTCCTCTCGCCTCCTCACCCTCCTCACTTCTCCCAACATTCTCTTCCCTGTCTTTGAACCCTGGCTTCCCCCTCCCCCCAAACCCTTCTGTCCTTCCCAACCCCTATCTCCTTTGCTCTCACCCACCCCCCTACTCCCCCACCCCCTCTCCCCTCCCTGCCCCGCCCCCAGTCTCGACCTCTTCTTCTGCCCCAGCAACGCTCCCCACCACCCCACCTCCTCCCCCTCTCCCCACTATCCGCCCTCATACCCCTCTCCCTTTGCCTCACCCCCTCCGGCCTCCACCTCCCCCTCCCCTCCTTCTTCCGCCACCCCTCCTTCCACACCCCCCCCCGCCGCCTGCCCCTCGTTGTCGCCCCCCAGCAAGTGGCGGCGGCAGCAGCAGCGCACGAGGCACGTCATCCTCCTGCACCCGCCCACGCCGCACTCGCTCTGCCACTCACACCTCACGTATGCGCCCGCTCCTCGCACCAGCAGCCACTCACACAGTGCCACGTCACAGGAGAACGAACACTGCAGCCCCAGTCCCAGCATCACCAGCAGCAGCAGTCTTCCCCTCTGTCCCTCCCCCTCCTCTTCCTCCTCCTCCCCCTCCTCCTCCCTCTCCTCCTCCCTCGCTCACACTGATGACCCTCTTCACGATTACGACACCGCTGACTCGGCATGCTCCACATCAGCGTGGCGGCATGCCACGTGTCAGGGGGAGCAGCAGGGCAGGGAGGGCTGGAGCGCCGTGCCTGGGGACCTCCTCTTAACCATTCTGGACCGCACTGACTGCCGCTCGCTGCTGCGCGCCGCTGCCACCTGCAAGGGGTGGGCCGCCGCTGTGTTTGGTCTCACCTCCCAGCTGTCGCTCGCATGGTGAGACGACATGTAACGTCGTGAGAGATGAAACATAATGCCATGAGACGTGTATTGTCGTGCATTCTGGTTTAGGGTGTTCCTTCTCTAGGAGCTGCGGTCGGTTGGTAGGGCCCAACTACCAGCCCCATGATCAGCCTAGTTCCCCCCACGGCCGAGCTGTTTGTCCCATGGCCGAGCTGCTTGCCCCACGGCCGAGCTGCTTGCCCCTTTGTGCTGCAATCTCCCTCGCCTACTCTTCCTTCCCCGATGCGCTCCGCAGGTGCGATAAGGCCGCCAACTCCCTGGCGTCCCACCTCGTGCCTCACTTCGCTCGCCTGCAGGTGAGAGTGCTCCCACACACCCCCACGCACTCCCTCACCCCCTCAATCACTCAAATTCTCACTCGCTCACAGAAATAGCCACGTTTCCTGACACGCACACATGTATGCGCGCTCACTCACACCCACTCCTGCACCCAGCCCAACCGCATCCACGTCTGTGTCTTCCCCGCCTTCACCTTCCGCCCTTTCCACGCCTTTCCGCCCTTTCCACGCCTTTCCCCTTCGCTCATCACCACTGCTCGCTGCTCCCCGCGTCCTCGCCCTTCCCCCCCCTCTCCTCCTCCTCCCCTTTAGGTCCTCAATCTGCGTCGCTGCCCCTCGCTAAGGGATGCCACGCTGGCAACCATCGCCTCCAGCTCACCCATGCTGACGTGTCTGCTGCTCAGTGGCTCCCCCCTCATCACCGACACGTCCCTGCACGCACTCGCTGCCCACTGCCCCTCACTGCAGGTGTGCCCGCCCCCTCCCCGTGTCTTCCTCCCTCTACCCTACCCTCCGCACCCCCTTCCTTCCCTTCAACTCCGCCCCCCCTCCCTCCTCCCGCTCTCCTGCTTCGCCCTCCGCGCGCCTCCCCCCCCCCGCGTCCTGCGTGTTTTCCCGCCTCTCCACGCCTCTGCTGCCCATGCCACTGCCCGCCGCCCACCTCATTGCTTCCCCGACTCACCCCCCCCCCCCCTCCCCCCAATGCGCCAGGTCGTAGACCTCAGCGCCTGCTGCGCCATCTCCTGTGCTGGCGGGAAATCCCCTTAGCCCTTACTCTACCCCCTCCCTTCCCCTCTCAACCCCTCGCCTTCGCCCGATCGCCAGCTCCCAGACCTAGACCTCAGTGCCTGCAGTGCCTGTAGTGCCGTCTCCCATGCAGCCACGAAACGTTTTTAGCCCCTACTCTCCCCCCCCCCTCCCCTCCCCCTCTCCCCCCCCTCTCCCCTCCTCTCCCCCCCCTCTCCCCTCCTCTCCCTCCCCCTTCCCCTCCCCCTCCCCTTCCCCATGCGCCAGGTGCTCGACCTCAGCGCCTGCAGCGCCATCTCCGCGGCGGGCGTTGCCTCGCTCGCTGCCCACTGCGCTCACCTCAGGGAGCTCTCCCTCTGCGGCTGCCGCCGCGCCGCCACGGACGACGCGCTCATGGTAGGCGCGGTGTGGATGGCCCTCTCGCTTCTATTCCGTTCAGCTGCCTCTCCCTCTATGGCTGTCCGCCTGCCACTGCTGGCAATGCTAAGCTCGGTGGTGGTTTGTGGAATGCTTGATTTGATTATGTCCAATTTCTTGCACGGAATTCCAATCCGTTGGGTGTTTGGTTTAGTGGCATGATTCTCGCTTAGGGTGCGAGAGGTCCCGAATTCAGCTCCCGGAGAACCTCATTTTCCAAGATGTGTCTCTGTTTTATGCCCTCTACGGTAAGTGCTCTTCCATTCGCAACGCTTGGCCGGAGTCCCATTGCCAGGGAGCAGTATACTCTTATGCTCTCCACGCGTAAGTATTCTTCCATTCACGACGCTTGGCCGTAGGCGAGGCCCGCCATCTCCCTGGTGGGCGCAGCCTCCCTCGCGGCGCACTGCAGTCAGCTGAAGGAGCTGTCGCTCCGCGACTGCTGCTGCGCCGCCAGTGCTGATGCTCTCACGGAGCGTGCAGCACGGATAGCCCACTCGCCTAAGCTGCGCTCAGCTGAGGGGGCTCTCGCTCTTAGCTGTTGGCACGCTGCTACAGGTGCCTTGCTGCTGGTAGTGACGTACTGCGGTCGACTACTGATGTTTTACTCATCCAAGTTGTTTATTTACATTACCATTCCGTGGGTGTTTGGTCTAGTGGCATGATTCTCGCTTAGGGTGCGAGAGGTCCCGAGTTCAATTCTCGGAACACCCCTGCAGTTTTAGTTTTCCACGACGCTCCACTGTGGACATTGTCAAGGAAAGGAAAATACTTTTGCAGGCAAACTCCCCTCCCCCGCCTTCCGTCCGCTGTCATCCTCCCCACCATGCCTTGTGTTCTTCCCCTCTTGCCCTTCGCGCCTAACCACTCCTCTCTCTTTCCTCATGCCACTCGCCCCACCTCCCTCGCCCCCAGGCGCTAGCCCAGGGCTGCGAGTGGCTGGAGGTGCTGAACCTGGGGTGGTGCGAGGGCGTCACGGACCGGGGGGTCACGGCCGTGGCCAGGGGGTGCGGGGGGCTGCGGGTGGTTGACCTGTGCGGCTGCTACCGCATCTCAGGTGCGCCGCCTGCCCTGTGCTGCAGGGGTTGCGGGTGCAGTCAAGCAAGGGGCGATTACCATGCAGTGATGCCTGGAGGTCATAAAACAATAGGCTTGTGCCGTTGCACTGACTGCCTGGCGTTCACTCGTCTGGGTATCTCATTTATCTCTGTTGTCCCTGTGCATTCGGATTGATCGCCTTCCCTTTCCACGCCTGCCCAAGCTGTGTTGAAGCTCTCCAATGCCAGCACATTTCGCTCCACACCATTCCCTTCCACGCCTCTCCACGCCTCTCCATGCCTCTCCATGCCTCATCCCCTCCCTCCCGTTACCCCCCCGTTACCCCCCCCACCCATTGCGCCTGTCAGACGCCTCGGTGGTGGCCCTCGCAGCGCACTGCCCCTCGCTGCAGGGCCTGGGGCTGCACTGCTGCCGCCACCTCACCAGCCACGCCATGCTGGCACTCGCTGATGGGGCGGCTGCCACGTGGCACTGCCATGCTGGCAAGCTCGGGCCTTCACAACTAATATCTGTTGGAGGAGCGTTTGACAAGTCTGCTGGCATGAGGAGAAACCTCCCTCCCAGGCTGAACCTGCCTGCCACCCCTCGCATGTGAGCAACACCAGTTCGTCGATTGTGCCTCATCCAAGTTGAGTCTGGTCTGATCCCCCCTCGTAGGAATGCCCCTTTAATCCGTTCGTTGGCTCCACTGGCAGTAAACTTCTGCACTCCTCGATCTGTCTGCGCTTCTCTCTGCATTTCGGTTCCTTGCGCTCCAGCAATGCTTCAGCCACACGCATCACAATGATGCCTGCATTGCATTGCATTGCATGGCGTCCATTACCACTCATACATGCACTATCCTTCGCTCTCCTCTCAACTTCATCCACGCCTCACTCATACCCCCCTCCCCCCTAAAACCCTGTCCCCCGATCCCCCCACCCTTCCCCCAGGGGCGATGCCACCACGGTGCTCTACTCCCGCCCGCCACGTGCCTCGCAGGGCCTGGTGTCGCTCAACATCAGCGGCTGCCTGGCCATCGCCCCCACAGCACTACAGGCCGTGTGTGTGGCGCACCCGCATCTGCACACGTGCCCAGCGCTGCGCTCGCTCAACACCAGTGGCTGCATGTCGCTGCAGGCCGTGCACTGCCGCTGTCACCGCGCCACCGCCGGGTGAGGCTGCTGTTGAGCCGAACTCAGAAGAGAGCTCAACCACCCTACCGGCGGCACGCTTTGTGCGTGAGATAGCAGCAGCGAGGTGCACTGTGGGTAGCATGCCGTTTGCAATCAATGGAGCTGCCATGGAGCCAATGGGCTGGTGAGTAACAGTTTGCGAACTTTTCTGAAAACGTTTAACCTTCAATGAGATTTGTAAATAGTGTACAGGAGGTCTCTTGAAGTGGTTAAAGTATTCACAGTTCTTGCACTCTAAGGATTGTGTGGCGACGGCAGCAATAATTGTCAGCTGCTAGTTGGTCACGTCCATTCAACGTCTCTTCTGGAATGCCTTACGGCGTGTTAATGCAGAAACCATAAGAGTGCTATTCATTGGTTATTGTGCACCCAGCATACATCCCTGCAGTTTCAGCAGCGACTCCCATACACAGCCACATCTGAGTGGGTGGGAAGAAGGCTGTGCACAGCTGCACGGCTCCCCTCCCTCCGGGGGGAACGTGTACAGTCCTTGCAGTACACCTCGTTTCCTCAGCTCAATTGCTCGCCTGCTAACATCCGGAAAGTGTGACCCAGCCCTCGTGTGGACGGAAAACATAAATCATAGCATCTTAGAATGCGTATAGAAGTCTAGCATTGCGTAAATGATCTCCTAAGCAGCAGCGCACCCGGGTATCTAAGCCTCGGCCTTCGCCTTGAGCGGCTTGATCACCTCCCAAGTGAAGTCGGGGTCGTCGCGGCCGAAGTGCCCGTAAGCCGCGGTCTTCTGGTAGCGCTGGTTGCCACCCTTCTTGAGCTCCAGGTTGATGGAGATCATGCCCGGCCGGAAGTCGAATGCCTCCTTCACCAGCGCCAGGATGTCGCGGTCGGGGATGGTGCCCGTGCCGTACGTATCCACAAAGATTGACAGAGGCTCGGGCACGCCAATGGCGTATGAGACCTGCGAGAGGACAGCGGATGAATTAGTGACGCCAGATTGCCATGCAACTCTGAACTCCCCGGGTTCCCCACTCCCCCGTTCATTTTCTGTCTTGCTACAGGATCGAGCACGGGATCGAGTGTTAAGAGGATCTGTTGTTTCACAGGGGTCAAGAAACGACTGCATGAAATTTCAGTGTTCGCTAAACCCTACACCCTTCCCGTCGGTTCTCACCTGAACGAGAGCGCGCCTGGCGAGGCCGGCGGCGACGATGCTCTTGGCGGCCTGGCGGGCCACGTACGCGCCGGAGCGATCCACCTTGGTGGGGTCTTTGCCAGAGAAGGCACCGCCTCCGTGCGCGCCCCACCCGCCGTAGGTATCAATGATGATCTTCCTTCCAGTGAGCCCGGCGTCGCCGTGGGGCCCGCCGATGACGAAGCGGCCGGAGGGGTTGAGATGGAAGATGGTGTTGTCGTCGAGGTACTTGGCGGGGATGACGGGCTTGATCACGTACTCCTTGAGGTCCGCCGCGATCTTCTCGTTGGTCACCGTCTCGTCGTGCTGCGTGGAGATGAGCACGGTGTGCACGCGGATCGGCACCATGGCGCCGCCCTCGTTCTTGTACTCCACGGTCACCTGCGTCTTGCCGTCGGGCCGCAGCCACGGGCACACACCGTTCTTGCGGACCTCGGTGAGCTTGGCGCCCAGCTGCGTGGCCAGCACGTGCGTGAGCGGCATGAGCTCGGGCGTCTCGTCCGTGGCGTAGCCGAACATGTGGCCCTGGTCGCCCGCGCCGATGTCCTCAGGCTTCTTCGTGCCCATGCCGTGCACGCCCTGCCCGATGTCGGGGCTCTGCTGCTCGATGTTGATCAGAACCTGCACCCAATCCGCCATGCAGCGAACCGTTAGTACAGATCCAGCCAAGGATTCTAAGCATCGCTTGGATGTCCGATTTAAGGAATCCTTGAAAGAGGATGCTATGATATATTCTGGAGATTTGAGTAGCACGTACATTGCACTTGTCGCAGTCGAGGCCGACGTCGTCGGAGACGAAGCCGATGTTGCGGACGGTGTCGCGGACGATCTTCTCGTAGTCGAGCTTGGCCTTGGTCGTGATCTCGCCGAAGATCATCACCATGTTCGTCTTGGTGCACGTCTCGCACGCCACCTTGCTGTCGGGGTCCTGCTCCAGACACGCATCGAGAACAGCGTCCGACACCTGCCATGCACACACGCGCTAGCTTAGTAACCTGCACTGCATATTGAAAAACCTACTACTGAATACTCAACCAAATCCAGATGGATCCGTGGATTCAGCTTCCGAATGTTATACAACATTGATTGAGCACAACGGTGAAAGGATGGTGTCCCTGATCGCTACGACAGGTACCTGATCGCAGAGCTTGTCAGGGTGTCCCTCGTTCACAGATTCGGACGTGAAGAGGAAAGTTTCCGTGGCCATGGCTCTGAATCTGATGGGAGCAAGCAGAGTCTGCGAGCGATGTGGCCTGGGCTGAGATGAAGCTGAGAAAAAGGCTGAAGCTAGCTCGAGATACTGAAGGCGTGAGTGAGTTCCGATTCTTATTATCGTCGTCGGCCTTTCCTAGGATTTTCCCGGGCGACGAAACAAAGCCCGATGGGCGATGCGATCGCTGATGGCAATGCGACGGGGTGACCCCGAGGCGACGGAAACACGGATGGCGGGAAAATGGGACCGCGGGATTGCCTCTCCGCCCTGGGATCACATTTTCGATCGCCGTGAGAGGTCAGCTTGACCGTCCGATAAGGCCACGGTGAAGTCCCAGGAGAGCCAGCTGACGCAACGGTGCGTGCGGTCGCAGCACGCTTGTCGAATCACGATTTGCCAGCTCACCTTCGGCGGAAGCGGATACCCCAGCCACCTGTTTTCGCGAAACCCCAAGCTTTGAGGAAATGCAAATCGTTCGGTGCACCTAGCCGAGAGGGAACATGTGAATAACGATTTCCAGATCAGTTACATAAAAAATATATAATACGGTACAAGACCTACTCGATTAATACTAATGTACACTGAGAATGACCAGATAATCTAGATAGCTATTACCGGTTCCCCCTTGTTCGATATATGAATTGACGTTCAAGCTTCACCCTCGCTCTTCTGTGCAGTCTTGTTTTGAAGCGCATCCAGCAACTGGTTGGCCTGCGGCACCAACAGTGAGCAAAAGAGGAGGAAAAGCGAGAGGGGGTTACGTTACGTCTTTTCGTGGTATGCCTTTCCAATATCTGACACACATGCACACTCCCTGCCCACTCCACTTCCTAGCTTGTGCAAGCCCTTGTACATCCCAAGTTCCACCCCTTCCCCCCTTACCGTGAGTCTTGCTCTTGTCGACCCCCGGTGGCGCATCTTCCTCAGCACGGGCAGGGCGCCCTCCTCCAGCATCTCCCTTCTTGCACCCTCGTCCTCCACCGCGCGCAGCAGCACCGCGCCCACGTCCTTCTGCACACGCCGCCACCGCTGCTGCTCCCCCGCCCCACTCCCACCACTCCCTCCCCCTCCCCCCCCTGCCCCCTCCCCTGTCTGCACGCTCAGCTCTGCCAGAGAAGCCATGGAGGGGGACGCCCCCAGCGCCGCACAGCTGGCGTCTAGAAGCTCCACCAGCGGTGGTATACCACCACAGGCGCGGATCTGCCTGCTGCCCTCCGTGGCCTGCGCCAGGCGCGCCAGCACTGCTACTGCCTTCTCTTCTAGCCCTAGCCGCATCCCCGGCTCTTCCTCCTCTAGCATCCGCACTAGCGGACAAACGGCGCCGGCCGCAATGACTGCCGGCCTGTGGTCGGCGCAGAGGGCGAGGTTGAAGAGCGTGAGGGCGGCGTCTTTGCGGCCGCGCAGGGAGCGGGCGGGCGAGGCCGGCAGCATGCGCACGAGGCCAGCAATGACGCCCGGGGAAGCAGCAACACGGCGGCGGATGGAGGCCAGGTCGGATGCAGAGGGGTTCAGAGCGGTGCTGGGCGGATCAGTGTGGGTAGGGTTAGGGTTTGATGCATGATTGGAGGTGAGGGCTGGCTTGTGCTGAGGTGGGAAAGAGGAGGCGGGGGGGGAGGAGGAGGAGAGGGCGCCGGCAAGAGATGAGGTGGAGGAGGAGAGAGAGGTGGAATGCACAGAGGAGAGGGAGGGAGGTAGGGGTGATGACGTCAGCATGAACAGTGCTGCTGCTGCATTCTCCCGTGCCTCCTGTGACACTAACGAAGGACGTCCAGGTGCTCTCGGCAGCTCATCACCAGCACCACTGCATGCGCCCCCCTCTCCAGTAGTCCCCCCTCTCCCCTCTCCAGTAGTCCCCCGTCTCCCCTCTCCAGTAGACCCCCCTCTCCCCTCTGCACACGCCACGATGCGTGAGAGTGCATCCACGGCGCCCTCGCCCGCCATGGCGGCGTGTGTGCCGGGCGACAGCGACAGGTTCAGCAGCGCCGTCACCGCGTGCCCCACCGCCTCCCGCGCCGCCTCTGCTGCCTTCTCCGCCTCCCCCTCCTTCCTCCTCTGCGCCATCGCCTCGCTTCCCCCGCCTTCCTTCCACCCCCCGTCCTGTCCGCGATCTGCCTCACCTTCTACCCTTTCCCCGCCGCTCCGCTCCCCGCACTCGCTGCTCTCCGCCTCGGCCGCCCCCTCTGCTCCGCGCGTTCCCCCGCTCTCCGCCAGCAGCAGCGCGTCCGCCACCCCCACGAGCGCGCCAATGGCGCCCGGCACGGCGGCCATGATGCTGCGATTCGCGTCGCTGCTCTTCACCAGCAGCCGCACCGCTCGCGCTGCCGCCGACACCGCCGCCATTTCCGCCGCGCCCCCACTGCATCCCGTTCCGGTCCCAATTTCACTCTCCCCGCTTCCCTCCGCCACATCCGCGGATAACGCTTCCGCCATTTGGTGTGCCGCCCCCCTTACCGCGCGCAGCTGCCCCATGAGGTGCGCCACCATCCCGCGCACCTCCCCCTCTAACCGCTCCCGCTCCTCCTCCTCCTCCCAGCGCCGCACCTCCTGCTCCCACCCCACGACTCCCCCCGCTCCGCCCGCTTCCTCCGGCGGACTGAGCGCCCTCTCGCTCCCCCACGCCCCGCCGCTTCCACCGTTCCCGCCAACCGCCGCCCAGCCCGCCGAACCACGCGGGTTGGGCGTGACGATAAGCGCGCCTGTTTGTAGCGAGTACGCGCACTGCACGGTGCGGGGCGACGGGGCGCTGGAAAACGACAAATAAGTGCCGCCCGGAGTACGCGCCACGCTCCCCTCGGAGTTGGTTGGCGAAACGGCGGAGTCCGGGAGATTCGCCGGGGAATGCGGAACATCCACGCGCACGGGCGCGCGGTGGAAGGGGGGAAATGCGGCGTCGGCGGAATGCGCGACGCGCGACTTACGAGCCGCGGCGGAATTATGCTTGGGCGAGGCGGGCGCTTCGAGGTTCTTCCACATGTCCATGATTCCCGCGGATGACGTGGCACCGCCAGATGCGGCCAACTCTGGGCGGGGAGAAAGAGCTTGAAGGGGGGAGCATGCGGCGCTGAACGCCGACTGCGGCGCTGACGTGGATACGCTGCTGGACACGTCGGATGCACCATGGTCGATCGGCGCATTGGTTGATGTCAGCGGCGGCTGCGCCTCTCTAGCTGCCACTTCCGCGCGTAGCGCTTTCTCGCTCGCTGCAATGTCTGCCAATCCCCTTAACAAGGCGCCGTCATCGCCGTCTCTCCGCACTTGCCGCGCCGTGTCCGCCGGCTGCTCCGCTCCCGCCGCTGCTGCCTCCGCATCTCCGCGCGCGCTGCTCTCCGCGTCCACGTCGAGCTCGTAGAAGGAGCGCGTGGCGGGGTCGCTGCAGCAGAAGAGCGACCACACCCGCCGGTGATGCGCGCCCCGCGGTAGCGGCGACGTGGACGCCGTGACAGCCATGGCGGCACCTAGCATACAGACTTCAGAAATTGAGATGAGCGATCGCTGGCAGTGTGAAATGGAGTGGAGGGGGGGTGAAGCGGCCTCCCACAAGGGAGGGACTGCTTCGCTTTCCACAGGGCAGGGCAGCATTCCGCGGGGCGGCGGGCGGGCGGGAAGTAACTGTTTCCCCCACTGCGAGGGTGGCCGAATCTGGCCCGAGCGATGGGCGGAGGAGAGGCGAGAGGGGCGAAGCCAGTAACGAGAGGTGATGCGAAAAGTGTGCGACGAAGCGAAGAAAGACGAAACCGTCGCACGGGGTGGAAGAACCGCGACGAGCACCGCCATTCGTCATAGATCCCGTTCGTGACCCGTCAGCCACCATCCCGTCCCGTTCCACCAATGGCGGATGTGGTGGCGACGACAAGAATTGTCGAACTTCCAAAATAACGGAAGTTCGGCTATTGAGGTACTCGAGCGGGTTTATACGACGAGCATAAATACACTTATTAGGGTAAAACAGATTTGTAAAACAGCCTGATTCTGAAGCAACATGACACCGCCGCAATTTCTGTAGTGTCGTTGCTGACGCAGGAGGAGGGAGCGGGAAGGCGGGACGAGCGTGTCTGGCCTGCACCCAGCGACGCCTGCGACACAGATTCCACGTCGTCAGTGGCGGGAGAAGGCGACGTCACGAAGGCGATTTGGGGAAATTGTGATTTCGAGCAGCTGACCCGGAAATTGAGAGAAATCTTTCTACAGAGCTAAGATGATCCCTCCCAGTCGGTTGCAAGTGCAGTAACGCAGTTCACAAAAAAATGTAAGCAGGAAGGCCCGTGAGGACTGTCAAAGTCCGCTTGAACTGCAATTATCCCTCTTTTGAGTTTCGATTCCAAACCGTCTTTTCCAAGAGTGCCCTGCCCTCCAAACCGCTGCCATCGTGCCCAATTCAGCGCTCCCATTTCCCAGGGCTCGCCCAGTCGCCCTTGGTGCAGCCGTTCCAGTCGCCCTTGCGCGGCCGCTCTGCATTCCTCGTGCCTTCCCTTCCCTTCCCTTACCGACTACAGTACAGACAGACGCCAACTCCATTTCCTGGCAACACGCTTTCATTCCGTTGATAGCACGCCTCGCCATAGCACCTCACTCATGGCGCCCGAAGTACAGAGGCGCCTGCAGCAGCGTATACCCTTATCCTTAGATCCGCTTATTACTGAAGCGCCTTCGCGCGAACCCTGATCGAGGCCTCGGTTGTCTTCACGTTGCCGCTGCTTCTGAAAGTTAGCACATGGCCTCAACTGCTTCACTTGTAGAACTCTAGCATACTCAACAGCCTAATTTTGCGAGTATACGACAACACGAAAATAGCCTCTTATTCTTAGTTTCATTTCTTGACCTCGCTTGTGCGATCCTCGGTTGCACGCTGCCGCCGCTTCTGAAGTTAAGGAAACCGCCTGGAGCGCGTCATTAGCGGTACTGTAGAATACTCAACAGCCTGCTTTCGCTCCAGTGCGTCAAATCGATTACTCCCTAGCCACTCGCTGTCATCCAATCAGCAGATGCCACATGGCACATCTGACGCACTTCATGCTGCAGGTCCACGCCGATTACGGAAGCCAGCAGTCCTCCCCCCCCTCAGTTACCTCCTCCCCCTCCCTCCTCACTCTCTCGCAACTCCTCGCCGCTCCGCGCGACCGCGCCGTCTTCCTCACCGCGGTGCGGCAACCACCCGACGCCGCGTCGCCATCGTCGTCGGAGTACCTCATCCGCGACCACGCGGCGCCACGCACTGCCACGTCATCAGGGCCACCTGCCACGTCACCGTTCGGCCACGGCGATTCGTTCCGAGTGGCAGGCGAGGTGGTGGGGTGCGTGCGGGGGAACTATGGCGGTACGCACTTCATCCTGGCGTCATGCACGCCGCGAAACACGGCGACCGCGGACCAGTTCAGCTCAGGAGCTAGTAGCGGATCGCACGGAACGGTTACCAGCGGCGGCGAGATGCAGCGAAGCAGTAGTTACGACGACGTCACCCGACGCAGGCCGCAGGGGGGTGCGGGCGGCGGGCGCGGAAGCGGCAGGGGCGGAGAGGCTGACCTGACCGAGAGACGCGGATCGGGGGATGAGAAGTCGCCGCGCGGCAGTACCGAAAATGTGGGTGCCGCTGCGGCCGGCGAGGGCAGTAGTCGCAAAGCCGGCAAGATGGTTCATCGCGAGAAGGGACGATCGCTGTCGGTTGGCAATTCGCTTTTCGCAAAATCGCTTTCGCACGACGAAGCCCGTGCTGATACGCCTTCCCGCCCCACCAGTAGTGCCGCAACACGCGCCGCAGGAAGCGCCGCGATCGACGGGGATGCGCGTTTGTCTGACTCCGTCGACGCGGCTCCCCGGCACGTGGCTTCCGCGCGAATGGCGCTCCCGCCGCTGCTGATCGGATGGCTGCCCGCGAAGGGCGGCAAGGGCGGGGGAACAGGGGGAGATGAAATAGCGAGAGGAGGGGAAGGGGGAGGGGGATGCGGGGGAGGCGGAGTAGGAGGGCGGGGAAGCGGAGGGGGATGGTTGGCGTGGAGCGCGAGGAGAGGCGTGGGACTGGCGGGGGAGAAGGACGAGGGGCGCACGCGCGACGAGCAGCAGATGAAGTCGCAGGGAGAAGAGTCGCAGAGGGAGGAGTCGCAGGGAGCAGAGTCGCAGAGCGAGGGGGTGGAGGGGGTGACGGGGAAAGGCAAGGCGCAAGCCGCGTTCGGCTTATCCTTGGGCCAGGTAGGCCCACGTCCCCTTTACACGCAGACTCGCTTTAGTGTCGTGCTGAAGGCTCCAGTGTGGAAGCAAGCTCGAGTAACGCCGTGTGGGATCGCCACCCCACCACCGCAGGTGACGGGTCTGCTGGCCGGAGGAAGCGCGAAGCTAAGCAGCGTGGAGTGTTCCAATAACGAGGGCGCCAGGCTGAATGGTGCAGACAGTGCGGTGTGTGACAATAAGGAGGGCAAGGTTGCGCAGAAGCTCGAGAGCAGCAGCAGCCGGAGCAGCAGCTTCGCTGTGTGGCGGCCGTTCGCCCTCAAGGATGGGGCCGGCGTGGGGCCCGTAGCCTTCAAGAGCAGCTTCCATGGCGCCGCGCTCCCTTGGGGCAGCAGCAGCTGGCGAGCACGGGGGCACAGTGGCAGCGCAGAGGGGGGCGCGGGTGGGGAAGGGAGTGGTGGTGGTGCTGCTGCTGCTGCTGCTGGGACTGGTTGGGGCGGGGTTGCGGTGGCCGGTTGGGGGAGGGCCAGTGGCAGCAGCAGGAGGAGCGGGTGGGCGTGGTGGGAGGCGTGGGGGAGTGGAGAGGCGGGCGTGGGTGCATACGAGGGGAAACAGAGCGGCGGAGCAGGGGAGGCGGGGGGGGGAGATGGGGAGGGGGAGGAGAGTAACGTATGTGGAGAGGCGGAGGGTAGGGGAGAGCGTGAGGAGCATGGAGGGCGGAGCGAGGGAGCGGCGGTGGAGGGGGATGCTGGGGATGGGGGAAAGGGCGGGGTAGCGGACGCTGGAGCAGGCATGGAGCGGGCAGGAGAAGGATGCGACGGAGGGGCAGGCAGGAACGAAGGCACAGCAGGGACCGCAGGGGCGAGGGGCGCAGGTGGCGGAGGGGGCAGCGCTACGGCAATAGAGCGCATGCACGGGGCTGACCTGGCAACTGGCGGGTCCACTCTGGCGGGGGGGCCTGAACTGGGTGGGGTGGCAGAGGGGATGCCGTGTGCGAAGGAGGGGTCAGCTTGCAGCGAGGACAGCTGCTACAGCGGCAGCAGCAGTGGCAGCAGCGGCAGCGGTGGAAGCAGCCCGGGCTGTGAGGAGCCGGATGACTCGGTGGACGACACGGCATGTTCGCATGGCGGCTCACTGCTACGAGCATCCGCCTCCATGCCGGCTCTGCAGGGGGGGCATCCCTCCCACCATGCCCACGCCCATGCGCACGCGCAAGCACCGCCCATGGTTCTAACCGCGCGGGCTGCTGCTGCCCCTGTCATACAACCGTCAGGCTCGTTCTCAACGGCAGCAGCAGCAGCAGCAGCAGCAGCAGCATCACAAACTCAAGCACTTTCAAAGTCTGGTCCTCTGATGGTGGCATCACCAGCAGGAGGGGCGGCAGCAGGGGCATCAGCAGGAGGGGCAGTTGTAGGGGCATGTGCATCCCTTGGTGGCAGTGTGAGAGGGGCGGGTGGTTCTGGCAGCAGGCGCAGCACTGGGAGCAGCACCGCCAGCACTGGCAGCAGCAGCAGCGGCAGCCTGCACCTGGTGGGCCGGGCGGAGGCGCTCATCCGCTTCATCGCCTCTCCTGCTGCCACACCCTCTGCTCCCACCGCGCCTCGCTTGTGGACCAACGGCGCACGCAGCAGCAGCAGCAGCAGCAGCAGCGGGGGAGGGTGGGTGATGGAGTGCACGCTGCTGGCAGGGCTTGGGCGGACAGCGGGGCAGGGGGCGGGGGGAGGGGGAGGGAGTGGGGGTAGGGAGGGGCAGGCAGGCCAAGGTGGAGAGCAGTTTCGAAACGTGCAGCTGCTGGCTCATGTGGGTGGCACTGCTGCTGCTGCCGGTGGTGGTAATTGTTCTGACAAGGGTGGGTACGGTAGGATCAGTGGCAGCGGTAGCAGCAGGAGAGCTGTTTTGGAGGTGCGGCTGGGAGGTGACGAGAAGGGAGAAAAGGTGGGGAATGAGGCGGGGCCAGCGGGAGTGTGTGTGGTGCGGGTGGTGAGGATGAGAGGAGGGCAAGGCGAGGCGGGCAGTGGAGGGGAGACAGCAGGGCGGAGCGCGAGTGCACCAGGAGCAATGACGGCAGGTGCAGGTGCAAGTGCAACAACGGGTGCAGCAGCAGGGGCAGGCGAGGCAGCAGGCGGTGCATTCGTGCTGTGGCTGGATGCCACAGCGGTCTCCCCCTTGCAGGCCCTTGGCATGTGCGTTGCATGGCTTGACAGCGCTGCTGCCAGGCGTCCTGCTCCTGCCATATAGTCCGAAGGTGGAGCGCCGCTCATCTATGCACGGTTAGCCCTCGCAAGCAATAGGCATGTGCGTTGCATGACTCGATAGAGCTGTAGAGCTGCTGCCAGACGCCTTGTCGCACAGACAAAGAATGGGTAGTCTATGGGGGAAAGTCCTGCTCGTGTATGTGCGTTCTATAACTGGTTCTCTAGTTGCCACGGTGGTCCTCCCCTGGCAATTCATAGGCTTGTGCATCACGTGGCTCAATAAAGTGCTGCCAGGCATCCGGCCATGCCATGACGGCGAGAAGCAGATAGCGGCCAATGGAACGATGCCCACATAGTCAGAACGCCCGCTCAAATCCTCATCAAGACTGTCGCTGCATGAGCGGCAGTACAGGTGCCCGACGGCTGCTGCCTGGCTTGGCGGCGCTGCCTAGAGCAGGCCACTGCTAGTGCGGGTTAAGTCTGATAGGTAGTATGGACGAATGCGCCCAGGGCTCCACTAGTACTGGTATATGCACAATGCTGCAATGCTACAGGGCGTGGATAGCACACGGATTATGTGCCTCTCTGTCTTGGTCCTACCCTAGAATAACGAGTGCCTGCAAACGGACACAAGCAACGCAGCAAGAGGACACGGCCGCAGCCCGCCCTTCCTTGCTTCGTGCTCCTCCCCCAACCCCATCCGCCCCTGCTCGCACCCCCGCACTCCCCCCCCCTTATCAAACCCCATTCGTCAGCCTTTCCACTTGAACACACTTGACGAATCTCCTCCGCCGCTCGCCGCGCTGATGCGGACCTGGACGATGCGGACCTGGACGAGCGTCACGAGTCGTTGATGCGCTCTACTTCGGCAGCAGCATCGGCGACGACTGCGCGCAGCACGCTCTACGACACGTTGATGCGGACTTTGATGTCGCGCGCGCAGTCGTCGCCGATGCTGCTGCCGAAGTAGAGCGTGCTGCGCGTCTCCGTCAGCTGCACCACGTACCGCTTAAAGCCCCAGTACGCTTGAGGCGACACGGTCTTGGCGAACCCGAACCAGCACGCCGTGTACCCGAGGGGCGTCGCCCACTGCAGCACGTTGCGCAGGCCGATCCAGCGGAACACTGTTTAGCGGGGATGGGCGAGGGGACGGGCGAGGGGACGGGCGAGGGGGTGGGCGGGGGGGTGGGCGAGGAGATTGGGCAGAGGGGGCGGAGGGGAATGACGTGAGGTGCGCGTGGGAGATTCGGCATTGTGGTTGCACGTGGTGTAGGGCGCGCAGGACAAACCCGTGTGCAGGACAAGCCGAATGGGTGGCATGGGCGCTACGCAGGATCGAGCTCGCCTATGCATTTGTTGAACGCAAGGGGTGGTCATGCACGGTACGTAAATGCGAGTCGTTTCTTACCGAGGACGTCCCCGGCGACGACAGTGGGCTGCTTCCAGTTGTTAACGCCGTACGCCCACGGGCTGATGTAACTCCAGAAGTCGCTGCTCTGCCCCACCGTTATCGTCTTACCCTCCGCCAAGCCTGCACACGGAGGACGAGACGAGCGGGGCAATCGCAGGGAGGGAAGGCGAATGAGAAGCCTCGTCGTGGCTTCTGTAGGAACGAGTGACTTGCAGCAGGAGGCATACGAGCTCGAATTAGATGCTGCACGCGGATAGCGGATAGCGGACATGATGTTCTGAGCCAAACAGTCTCACCGGTGCAGGCTACGGCGAGAACAAGTCCGAGGAGCAGCAGATGCCGAGAGGCCATTGGTCGCGATGGGATGCGAACGCTGACGGGGATGATGGCGACGCGTGCGAAGTCTGCCGAACAGAGGCTACTTGAGGATCGAAGATGGAACGAGTGGTGGTTATGGAATGGAGGACGGCACGCTTAGAGTCTCTCTTGGTTCTTAAGATACCTCGACGGAGGCTTGTCGGGCTGAAGCGTGAGCTTATGCGAGAGATTATCAGGCACAGGGTGCAAGTTTCCTCAGGGAATTCGAGTTCGACCGGTTTAAAAAGCTAGAAAAAGAAAAAGAAAAAAGAGAGCTAGAAACCAGAGGCGAGCAGCCCAACCCGTGCTCAGAAGTGGCGACGGCGTTTCTGCTGGGAGTGATCGGGAATTGGGATTCGGGGTGTGAAACAATTCGGTTCGCCTGTCCACAGGGCCAATTTACGAAAGTCCGGAGCGCGAATCTGAGGACATCGAGAAATTGCGGGCGCGCGAAATGTGTCAGTACTTCGGCGACTCCAGCGATGTGTCAGGGGTTCGCGAAATAGGTTCGTCAGCGTGCGAAAAGCGGTCGGTGGGCCGACCTAGGTGTCGGCGACAAAGAATTTAGGCGAAAAGTAGAACATAGGTCACTAACAGACACCCAGCAACGATACTGACCTGTAGCTGAATAGTATAACGACTGGGCACTCGAAATTCATACAATTGCAATAACGATTCCTAGAAGTGGCTTTCAAAACATCAGTTATACCCAATATTATCTAATTTCATTTCAAATTCTCTTACTATGCATCATCCCTATACTCCTAGCATTAGTGCCAACATTGCAAGTCAGGATGCTCCGGCTGGCCCAACCCTTCAGCTGCGGAATCAATCAAAATTTCTCCATACAGGCGCCACTCACCACGAGGCTTCACACAGCTGCCAACCTAACTGCACTTACTATCCTCAAGTGCAGCCTCTTGCCGAACGGTAAATGAATGGCCTGGCCCCCCTTCCCACCAGGGTCTCAGATATCAGACGAAATCCGTGTGATCGTCTAAAAACAAGCTTGTAGTACTTTCATATGAATTTTTTACTGAGCGAATTATTTTGTCTGATTGTTTATCATAGTCATAAGATAACGTCTAAAAGTTCAGACTTGGTGTACGTTTTTGTCAAACATGTGTATCTCCTATGTTTGCATAGACTGTATAGGGTCATCTCTTAGAGGGTACAACACTTAGGTATATTCACCTGTACTCTCTCTCTACTGATCATTCAGTTCTCATTCTAACATGGTATCAGAGCGGCTGGGTCACCCTCAGGGACTAGCAGCATGGAACAGAGATGGGGAGCAGCCTCGGACAGGAAAGCAAGCTCGCACTGGCGGTCCTCCAGGACGTCACTGCCGAGGGCAAGAGCATCCCCGACAGACGGAGGACAGGCAGGGTCAGAGACCAGAGCGGTGGCGTAGTCAAGGCGGCGGGTAGAGGCGAAGTCAGCGACTGCAGCTACAAGAGCGTCAAGGCACGAGACCGGAACAGACGGGTCGGTACGAGAGAGGCAAGGACCCGAGGAACAAGAGGACGAGCGGCACGAAGGTAGTCAGACAGCGGGGGGGGATGCAACAACAAGGGAGGACGGAGGAGGCGACGGGAGAAGGGGAGGACGAGACGCGTGGGAATGAAGCAACATAGGGGAGGCAGGACGAGCACGGGAGGGACGGTGAGACCAGACGTGAGACGGAGGAGTCAGGTCAGGAGACAGGGGAGGGGACACAGGAGGGGAACGAGGGGGAAGACGAGCCGGGGACGAGTCCGGCGGAGGGAACACAGGGCCGTAGACGGGAAACGGAGGAGACGGTCGGAGAGGAACAGACGCAAGGTCAGGGGACGGAAGGCCGAGCAGGCGAAGGGCTGACACCGGCGGGGACTGCTGCGAAGGCGGCATAACGCCGACACCTGGACCGCAAGCTGCTCCTCGGCTACCACCGGCACACTCCATACCAGCACCCCCAGAGGGAACACCTCCAGGGCCCGAAACCCCTCGAGGACCGGTACCACCCCCAGGGCTACCGCGACTAGCACGCACTCCAACGCCAGCACCCCCAGAGTCAACGAACGGGTGCTGCGACGGCGGCGGCGGCGGCGGCAGCGACAACGACGGCTGCGGCGGCGGCGGCAAAGGTGACAACGGCTGCGACAGCAAGGGCGACAGCGGCGGCAGAGGCGGTGGAGAAGGGGACGCCTGGGGAGGGGCGGCCGGCGAGGACTGCGCCGCAGGACCACCAGAGTCAGAAGACTCCTCAACCGGGACCACCGACGGAAGAGGGGTGACGTGGGACACACTAGAGGGGGCAGGACGGGGAGGAGGAGGGGGAGGGGTAGGGACTACCAGGGAAGGAGTGACCAGGAACAGGGGGGGGGTAACCGGGGGACCGCGGTGGGGGAAGCGACGGTAGTAGGAGACGGACTCGTCAATGGTGACGTCGCGAGAGTGAAAGAAACGGTGAGACGGCGGGTGGTAGAAGTGCCAGTCGGATGCGTCAAGGGGAAAATCGAGGAAGACGCAGGGAAGGGTGCGGGCAGTGAGCTTGTCCGTGCCGGAGGCACGGACGTGAGCAAGGCAGCCCCAGACGTGGAACGCAGACGCGTCACCAGGAGACCCAGTCCAAAGACGGGTCGGCAAAACCTGCGGCTGCTGGAGGTGTGGCCACAGGTTAAGCTGGTGAGAAGCGTAGCGCACAGCGAACGGCCACAGAAAATGGGGTGCACCGGCATGGATCATGGAGGTGCGAGCCACCTCCATGACCAAACCGATGCGTCGCTCAGCGACCCCATTCTGCTGTGGGGAGTCCGGTAGGGTGAACGTCTGGGTGATGCCCTCCGCACGACAAAAGCGACCAAGGACACCTGAGGCAAACTCGCCACCACGGTCGGAGTGAAGGCGCAAGACAGGGAGACCTCGGTGGACACGGGCAGAGACAAGCCAGGGGATGAGAGCAGCAGGCATGTCGGCCTTCCGCTCCAGGGGAAAGACCGAGGTGTAGCGAGTGAAGTCGTCGACAAGCACAAGGAAGTAGCGCTCTCGACGCGGCCCATGGACGGGGGCGGGGCCCCAGACGTCCATGTGCAGGGTCTGCAGCGGCGCGGCGGTAGGGGGAAACGAGGAGGAGTGAGGGGCACGGCAAAGCCGACCCTCGACGCAAGGCGTGCAAGGTGGGGCTGGGGAGGAGGGAAAAGCAGGGAGAGAACCAGAGAGACCAAGGACGAGACCGTGCTGGGACATGTGACGCAGACGCGGGAGCGCAGGGTGACCTAGGCGGTGGTGCCAAAGGAGAGTCGGGTGAGTGAGGGACCGACAGGAGCAGGCAGCAGCAACCTAGGTAGACGCAGCCACCTGAGGGGGGCCCCAGCCGGGGGGGTCACGGTGTCCAGAGTGAACAGGCCGGACATCGGGTCCCAGGGGAACGTGGACAGGGGGGCACCAGTGGCGGCCTCAGTACAGACAGCATACCGCTCGTGACCAGGGAACGTAGTGGTGACGCCAAGGTCCTGGAGGCAGCCGACACCAACTAGGTTCCTGGAGAACGAGGGGATATGCAGACCTGTAAGAGAGCCCGAAGGAACCGCCAGACAGGGAAGGGTGGTGGAACTGCGGGCGACTACCGGACCGCCGGAGGGGTCAGCAAGAGAAACGGCAGTAGGAACAGGAAGCGACGTCAGTGTAGTAGAGTCGCGGAAGAAGCACCGGGAAGTGCCAGAGTCCTAGGTGAAGGAAAGCAAAGCAGAGGCGTCTGGCGACGGGGCGACGGCGGAAGCACCAAGGCTAAACAAAGCAGGGGATCCTACGCCTGACGCAGTAGGGGAGGCTAAGCTAGGCACACCTATACTAGACGACAGTGAGTAATAAGCGGGAAGCGCACTAGAGTCATCAGCATACATCACATGCAGAGCAGAAACAATGGCATCCATGTCCATGTCAAAAATCTGAATCCTACGACTAAGCAAACTGTGCCAGTCCGGGAGGTCTGGCGACGGGCCGAAGCGCTGACGAAACAGGTCGTCCAGGCGACGAAAACAACGGGGAGTGGTATGACCGAGCTTACAGCAAACGAAGCCACGGCGAGGACCGGTCTGGATCTGGTACTGACAACGCACGCCTCCCGAACCACCACTCGGCACACCACCACGCGCCCGACCACCTCCAGCGCTAGGCCACCCGGGCGGGAGGACACTCGCCTGCCTCGTCTGCGGCGGCTGCTGCGGCTGCTGCGGAGGGAGCGACTGCTGCGACTGCTGCGGCTGCTGCTGCTGCTGCTGCAACTGCGGAGGCGGCGACTCAGCTGGACTGGGCAGGGTCCCCTCGTCCGCTCCAGCACCAGACGACCCGACTCCACCACCACCCCCTCATGCACCCCCGCCTCCTCCGCCGTGCCCAGCCTTGGAGCGGCGGCCCTTCCCCGAACGAAACTGCGCTGCAGCAGCAGTCTCAGCTACAGCGACAGAACCGTTGGACAAGGTACACTGAGCGGGGGCACAACCTTGAAAGATAGGGACCGATACGGTACCGCTCGCCTGGGCGATGGAGCGGTGGCGGGTCTCAATAACAGTCAGGGTGTCTACAAAATCGGTGAGGGTGAGCTCACCGGGGTGAATGCTAAGGAAGTGGTCGCGGGCGGCGGCAAGGCGGTCAGGGAGGCGGGTGGCAAGCAGGTAGAGGGTAGAGGTAATGGGCGGCTGGTGGGCTCTAAGCTGTGCGTCAGTGCAGGCAGCGCGCCAGGTCTCATCTATCGGGCGCAGGTGGGCAGCGAGGTCAGAGACAGTGGGGAAAGACGCAAGGTCGGGAAAGAGCATCGGGAGGATCAGGCGACCCACCGAGGCAGCAGGAGGGGTGGAATAGCGCTTGATGACAGCATCTAAGTAAGCCTGGGCGGTAGTGATGGACCTAAAGCGAGGGCGCTCGGACGGGGGAAGGGCATTGCTAATGGCAAGCTGAGCGACAGCGTCTCAAGAAAGCCAGACAGAGCGCGCAAGGGCAGTGGCTGCAGTAGACTCGCGCTCAGCGGGTGTGGGGTCAGCGGGCAGAATAGCAGGGGGGTCTGGGCAGGGGAGCGTACTGTCAAGGTGTGCGGAAAGCGGGTGGCCATCCTGCCGATGGCCAGAAAGGTGGCGACGGAGGTCGGCGAGCCACGCCTCGAACTCCAGAGGCTGGCCTGCAGCGTCGAAGCGAAGCTCCGCCACCATCAGGAGCAGTGCAAGACTGTACAGTGCGGTGCAGTGCGGTGCAGCGCGGTGCAGTGCGGTGCAGGGCGGTGCAGTGCGGTGCAGGGCGGTACCGCGCAGTGCAGTGCGGTGCAGTGCGGTGCAGGGCGGTGC